CCGAAAAGCCGTGTTTTCTCGATCGGTATAATCCGCCATTTTATTTGAGTGTGTTTGCCACCAGACTCTGCCCGGTGACGTCATCATGTGCGCTATAGAAGGAGGTCTGTGATTCGTTGACTAAAATCGTCGATAGTGGGTCTCGTGAAATCTTGTTACATAGGCATCGAATCAGATGTAGGTAGGGCGGAGTTAAAATCACAAAATCAAAATCAAAGTAAAATAATAAAATAAAAGGGCATTAATAACAAAAGTAATAAAAAATAAAATTAAAATAAGTTTATAGCCAAAATAAATAAAGCCCATACACTACATCAGATTTTAATCAGATTGTGTCCAGTATAGTGACCGGCTGTGTACTGATCACGTGACAATGCTTTGCCCATACTCGCAACGCACCTTTAACAGGGTGATTTACACCTAATACAACGACCGTTTCCAAACCGGGATAGAGAGACCATGGAGGTAATAATACCTCCATGGAGAGACTGTGAGTGACTATAGAGGGACTGTGATTTTCTCTATACTACGCTTCTCTAAAGACAAAGCGATTAACACCTTTGGCCGTTCATTGTTACCTATCTATACATCTCCCGTTGACTGCGACGTATCTCTACTAGGAGCAGAATGACAATCGACTATCACAACAGTTGAACGTTGGTAAATTTGCATGACAATAACTTATGTAAATATGCTCATTATTATTGTAGCTGCCGTCACAGTCTCTCTACAGAGGGATAGAGAGACTGTGCTGCCGTGTATCCTGTTTATTCGAGACACCTAAATAATAACACCAGTGCATTGTCTCAGACTCATGAATGTTTCTTTTTTTCTCTAAGCTCAACAGGACAATACTCTGACACGCATCGTGCCATGTAAATAAACAACAATGAGCACAGTACCAAAATCGTTTTCAGCAATGTTGTTTTCATACTAAGTAATTGAGGGCGCTGTCCCGTTCGTCTCTGAACGAACTGGATTGAACCACAGTCACTCTACTAGTAGAGTGACTGTGATTGAACTCGGGCGGATCTCGGCTCTCGTTCGGCCCACCGTGTAAACGCATTGGAGATAAGCAACCTCCTGTTAATCGGTGAGAGGAGCAGCAGTTCGGCTCCGATAGAAATAATGTCGTGTAAACGTAGCAATTATTTCATGAACCGTTAACATCGTACTCCAAGCCGAATCGGACCACACACCCCTTACATTTGAGAACCTTTCTCACCTCGGGCCAATAATTGACTGAATTTACATATATTTTGCAACATGACTGGTCTGGAAATTGTTACAGGTGACCCAGTATATAATATATACATGATTTTGTTAATGAACTAAGTGAAACAACTGCAGATAAATGTGGTATGTTAAAACACCGTCCCCAATACGGTGTCAAGGGACGGTGGTTGAAACAATTTGGGCAAAAACAAACTTGCCTGTGACAACTCACGTGGTTAGACCAAATGCAAATTAAAGAACAGTACTGTACTACGAGTTATTATAAAACGAGACGTTTTTGAAAACACAGAGATGTGAATATGATCGTTGATACACTGATAAAAAGGCACCACTGAGATTCGAACTCAGGATCTCCTGTTTACTAGACAGGCGCTTTAACCAACTAAGCCATGGCGCCAGACGATTGTCCACTAGACAATAATGTTACAAAATATTAAAAGCAAGTTAAATTTTTGGAGAATGTATATTGGATTTCTTGATTTGAAAATTACATTCCAAAAAGTAACTTTTTGGTGTTCGACTATATTTGACTGACGACATAA